AAAGAAGCTGCAACTTAGTCAAATTCAGATAAATAAATATAAACGTTTCTCGTGAATCACAATCTATAGCGTAGAATTATAGATCTAAGCAGACATAACATAGAGACAGACATTGTCACTTATCAATTTTTTTTAATATTTGATGGGCCGAAATTTGACCCCTATCTCGCCTGGTGCCAAGCGATGATGCAGTATGACTTGACTTCAATGACTTGAAACTAAAACAAACATAAATACACTATTTTTACATGATACAATACTAATTTCCAATTAATACAACACATTCATTACATAATCAGCCTATAAGAGTCCATTGCCGACGAAATGCCTCTTCTCACACAGAGAAAAAATGAGCATTAATCACTACACTTACTCAGGATGAAAATCACTACAGTTGCTCAAAGCACTACACATACTACCTTACTATCATACAAACACTATCATTCAAACAGAAATGTATATTTTTGTAGGAACCAAACATGGCTGCCAAAATACATCCAATTATATGGCGTCCCATTCAAAACTAACGATGTCTCTTCACTACACTCATTTGTAAGGGTTGCAATCACAAAAAATCCTGTAATTGAGCTGTTGCCATCTGAAAAATGTTAAGGCAGAAGTCCAATATAGCTTAAAATTAAAATATAATGGACTTGAATTGATTAATCATTTAATAAAATATTAATCAATTTTAATAAAATATTAAATTAAAGTTAGTTTTTATAAGATAAGCCGGTAAACAAGCAGACGATGCAGATGGATCACCTGATTGTAAGCAATGGGCGTCGACACCCGGACCACCAGAGGCGTTACAAGTGCGTTACTGGCCGTTTCGAGATTAGGAATTTGAGGATTGTTGGTGTTTCGGATATTGGGGATTTGGAGTAATTGGTAATTGGTCCTCCGGAAACCTCACTCACATGACTTAACACAACGCCAGCGTTGTGTTTCACGTTGGTTTTTTGTGAGGTCTTATAAGTTTAAAATCGCCAATCGGCCCTGAGAAAGTATGGTGATTAATGATCAACATCTTCTCCGTATGAAAAGAGGCCTTTTGCTTACTAGGCACTTATAGGCCTACTAGTAATTTGAAGTTATATGATGTCAAAAAATACTATCAATAAATTATTATAGTAACTAAATTTCTTGGGAGCAACGACCGACATTATAATCTCAACCACAAAAATTCGAAACACTCATAACAAACGGTCATAACTAACAAAGCAACAACCAAATAAAATTAAACTTAAACAATACAGAATTAGCGTTCACAATTCAGTACCATTTGTGGCACTTATGGACTTAAGCTCTGTAATTCTAACGATAGAGTACTATAATTATAACCATTAGCCTATGTAAACCGAGTCTTACAATTGATGTTGGTACAATTATACCCAAGTATTATGTTCATGAGTCAATTAAGGTCTAATTGTAGCGATTAGGTTTTGAGATAAATGCATGGTTGCAAAATGTAGTGGGGACTTGACAATATAGGACGCTATCAGACGCGGATTATGAAAATAACATAACATCACGCCTTTTATCCCCGAAGGCGTAGGGAGAGGTGCACACAACACTACAACACCTAACACCCACTTTTCACTATTAATGTAATAGGGGGTAAGCCTATTGCCATATACCGGGCACATTTTCAGGCTCCGTACTCCTACTGAGATGAGATTTTTTTTAAAACCCAGTAATACTTTGCCTGACCCGGGAATCGAACCCGAGACACCATGCTCGGCAGTCGCACTTGCGGCCACCGAGGCAGTCGTCAGTTTAACGCCGACAAATAGGTATATAAATAATTTCTTCTTATCCTTACACCAAGCTACGTAGTTAGGGGTCAGCACAATGTATCTTCTTTAACCATTCTATCCTATCAAACATACTATCAGAAACTCCATTATTTTTTCACATGAATTTTCAAACAAACTCCAAACTACTACAATAACAAAAAACGACAATATTTCTAACCATACTTCCAAATTTAAAAACACTGAATTTAAAAATACTTTGAAGTTCAAAGAACTTTCGATCCAAAAGACTAATAAATAAAGCACATTATAATGTACTTTCTGTGGCTTAGCGATAAAGGTATTAGTACCTATTCATAAAGCAAGGGCCGGGATTACTCGGTATATTTACAACCTTACGTGGTCTTTGAGAAATGGGGAGGGTCTTATCGCATTTAAAATGGTCGCCTAAGACTTTATGACTATTACTTTAAACTTTAAAGTATATTTTATAAGGTTGAAATTAAGTTTTTGAGGAAAACTAGTGTTTTAATCGTGATTTTGGATATGTTTTTTGTTTTTGCTTACTATCGTAATTGTATTATCTATCTATAGCTATGTTTATCGTATTTAAACTGTCAAACACCGCGAGGACACCGGTGTCCGCACACTTATTGTTCTTTAATTGTGTATATAATGACGGTACTCAAAGGGTTTATTAATTATTCATCATTTAAACTCTTTATATTTAGCTGAATAATTTGTTTGTTTGTTTGAACGCGCTAACCTATGTAACTACTATTCCGATTAGTAAAAATGTTTTTGTGTGGGACAGTCCATTTATCTAGGAAGGTAATAGGATATAAAACATCATGCTATAATCAATAGGAACTAAGCAAAGCAGGGGAAACCACACAGAAGTCGCTAGCTAATAAATATAAGGGAGGTTAATCTGGCAACGCACTTTTACCTCCTCTGGTTATATGGATGTCCACGGGCGGCGCTGATAACTTACGCACCCGGCACCATCCAGTTATATGTCTGTTCATTTCAACAGCAACAGCCTATAAGTGCCCACTGCTATGCAAAGGCCTCTTTTCATACGGAGAAGATTTGAACATTAATCTTGTATAATGCGGGTTGGCGATTTCTAACTTACATATAATAAAAAAAAATACATATGATTATAAATTAGAAAAAAAAATATAATTAGAATTTATAAATCCGGGTTTCCTCACGATGTTTTCCTTTACCTTATGTCAAATAATCTCGAGTGGTGTCTAAATAATCTAACAAAGTATACATGTTTGTATAACTCAGAAAAAGTCACCTTCTAAGTTTCGAACCCGTGAACAAGAGGCACACAAATAACCACTCTACCAGTAAATCGAACCCAAGACGTCGCCAATTAGTAATCTCAGCTACAATATCGATTTTATATCTCGTTACAGATTTCCGAGAATCAATTAAAATCCATTTTGAAACAATGTAGCTTATAAATAATTGAGATATCATACCAATTACCGCTCCAATAATCAACTTTTCAATTTGGTTTTGCCCGTGAGTTTAAAAAAAACACTTTATTATATATGTCGTAGGATAATTTGATACTTCGAATCTTCGTGGAAATCCTAGGGGTTTTGTGAAAACGCGGATAATTAGATATAGGCGATAAATTATCAAATCTTACTGGACAAAGTCAGGATTTTTGCGGAAATACTCTCTACTATAGTAAGATTTGATGTGCTGAACACTGATTGGCTACGATTTTCCTTTCTCACCTATTCTAAACCTTCATAACTCTATGATACAATACTTGAAGTTAATCATCGGCAAACTAGGAACCAATTAGAAGTCAGCAAGCAAAATTGTAGCCAATCAGTGTTCAGCACATCAAATCTTACTATAGTAACGAGTATTTTCGCAAAAATCCTGACTTTGTCCAGTAAGATTTGATAATTTTTCGCCTATGTCTAATTATCCGCGTTTTCACAAAACCCCTAGGATTTCCACGAAGATTCGAAGTATCAAATTATCCTACGACATATATATAACATAACATCACTTTTATCCCCGAAGGGGTAAGCAGAGGTGCACTCAGAGGTAACACCCATTTTTCACTATTTATGTTATGAGTCCCATGTAATAGCCTATTGCCATATACCGGGCACATTTCCAGACTCCGTGCTATTACTGAGATTTAAAAAAAAACCAGTAATAGGTACTTTGCCCGACCCGGGAAACAAACCCGAGACCCCTTGCCCCGGCAGTCACACTTGCGCCCACTCGGCGAACGAGGTAGTCATATATTATATCTAGACATTAAAATTATATCATGTAAGAATTCCGACTGAAAACATTCAATAATACTTTGCCCGACTTTGAAATCGCCCCCAAAACCCCTTGTTAGGCTGTCGCGCTTGACCAAAACACAGTCAAAACAATAGTCACTTGACTATTGTTTGATTGAAATGACTTCATTTAGGTTACTGTCCATGTAACCGCACGACATACGCACGCTTTCGTCAATTGTCAAATGCAAGACGAATGCTTGCATCTTTGAAACAAACAACTGCATATCATGTGTATCAATTTTAAAGGATCCATGAATTCGTTAAATGACGCAACGTGAACAGTAACCTTTAAGTAATATCACTACACAGTATAAAACAAAGTCACTTTCCGCTGTCTGTCCCTGTATGCTTAGATCTCTAAAACTGCGCGACGGATTTTGATGTAATTCTTTTAATAGATAGGTTTATTAGAAAGAAAAGGCCAACGGCAAAAGCTACTATGAAATAAAATAAATTATTAATCGATATATCATTTCAATTTAAATGTGAAATGGAATGTAACTGAAAATTGTAATTAAAATTCATTATTGACTGTAATCAAATAATACATACCTACAATTATTTTTACCACAATTAAACAATTTCTGGCATCATTCGTTACGGGGCTAATTAACGATGATTCCATAATGACTCATGATTTTACAATTTTCGAAAATGTATTTCTGTTAATACCAGGTTTTCCACAAGTTTTTACCTACAACTTGTTGAGTTTTCCAATTTAAAAGGGTAAAGAGTTGAACAAACATAATTGCACGCTATTTTTATCAGATATTTCATCGGACACAATGCAGTTTCGTTCTAATTGCTGAGAAAATACACACACTTCTATAAAACTCTATATAAACCGGGAATCGAAATCACACCACATTACTCAGCCGTCATGACCTCTAAAATCAATAAAAAAACATTTAAAAAAAAATTAACCTCAAAATTTTTCTTTGTCCACAGATTCAAAAGACATCACGGATGACATAACGAGCAAAATGTCAATGTCAACGAGGTAGCCATTACGAATCCAAGATGGCGGCACACGACAAAGATTGGGTCGATTACTTCGGAGATTTCAACGACACGAGACAAATAGTTGACAGTGACAGTACAGATTTAGATATTTCAAAGCTTAATTATTATGATAATCAAACTGGTTATCCTGGTTATTCGAACTTTAGCTCAGATGATTTCTGCCTGTCAAACCATTCACATTTCTACTTAAATGTCACTTGCGAATTTCCGATTAATTATGCCGAACCTATGTATGGGTGAGTATTTTTTTGTATTTTGTGTTGTATTAGAGCCCCTTCACACTATTGTTGGTCCAGCGTAGGCGTTCGATAAAGCGGCGCACTATCCCCATACGCCAACTGACGCCGCGACAACGTGACGCTAGCGCGCCGTCTGAGCGGCGCATAAGTTTATTGAATATCTACGCTAGACAAACGCTAGTATGCAGGGACTATTCAATTTTTTCTTATTTTTATTCCTCTTTCCCTCAAATCCCCAGTGGTAGGCAGAGGTACAACTAATACACATATAAGTGTATACAACGTACCATCGATTTTCACCACTTACATACCGTAAATAGTTTCATAAAGTATGAGCATATTGTAAACATTTTTCTATCGAAAAAAACTTCGATATAATACTTTAGCCAACCCAGAAACCGAACCTGAGACCTTAAAAATCATGACAAATTATTTACTTTAACTTGTCCAAAAAACCTACTAATGCTTATCAAATATGAATTTATTTGGAAGTCTCTGTTTCAAAAACATATTATAGGTACTTGCTTAGCAACGTAAATAAATTTACATTGCTTATTTGAATCTTGTCCCAAATATACATCTAAACCACGACACAAGTAAATTACTTTTTTTAACGTATTTATTCACAAAAATTATACATAAATTTACTTATACATCAAAAATCGCCAAACTGTATAACAGTTTGTTGGCGATAGTGGCGCTCATAAATACAGTTCTATTTCAGGAACATTTCTAAAATATTACATTTACTATTTTCTTCAGAAGATTTGCTGAAACTCTCACGTTACGTTGCTGAAAATGCTTTCATGAAATAAACTCTACTCCGCTCTCAACTCGATTAGATAAACAAGGGGTTAAGTGAATCCTTTTTTACAAATTAAATTTTCGTTAATATTTAAACAAGATGAAATGAGATTTTTAAAGCGGCATTTATTTTATGGAATACTAGCGACTCGCCCCGGCTTCGCACGGGTGCAAGATGTATGTATTATACATATAAACCTTCCTTAAGAATCATACTGTCTATTAAAAAAAACCGCATCAAAATCCGTTGTGTAGTTTTAAAGATCTAAGCATACAAAGGGACATAGGTACAGAGAAAACGACTTTGTTTTATACTATGTAGTGATTTATGTATTATTTTTATATTGCTAGTATATTATATCTATTGTAGGTATTTTTATTTTGCCTTTTTTATTGTACACTTACCCCAAATCTGGTTTCTTATAAATATTTCCATCCAAAGGTTGTCTGGAAGAAATCACCATTGTGTGATAAGACCGCCCATTGTACGCATATTTACTTGAATTGTTTGTTTTTAAGCTACTTAAATGTGTACAATAAAGCATATGTAGTTAGATAAAATAAATAAATAAAAAAATTAAGCTCTTGCTATTCTGTTAATGAGGAATCTAAACTTAGGAACTGAATTTCATTGTTTTTCTTAAATTACCTCTGTATGTGGATTTTTTTTAATGGGGTAGTTTATGATGAGGCGAAATCCTTTAGAGTAAACAATTAGCGCCGTTCATATGTACACGTAACACCAAAAGGCTTTAAAAGTGCGTTGCCGGCCTTTTACCGATTATGGATGTGACGTCATAAATAAGGTGGGATTCAAGTTTCGCCAGGATTTTCGTTTTTAGTGGATAACTGTAGTATTATGTATTCTGTTAGTTAAGATAGTACGTTTTATAAAGTATCTAAATATTAGTACAGATCCCTCATTACTCTGAATCACATTAATCGTTGAATTTCTCGAGCGAAAATTTAGATTTTCTATTAAGCAAAGATGAATTTGTTTGTGTAGCAATATAAAGGGTGCTCCCCGTCGACGGTTTTAACACGAATCTAAATATTAGATATAATAATAGGATATTTTACTGTCTCATTGATCGGGTCGCTAGGGGTCTCGGGTTCGATCGCTGGGTTAAACAAATATTAGACAATATTGAGCTGTTCCGTGTTGAAATTTCTAATAATAACTTGGATTTGGATTAGGACTCAGTAAAGAATTAAAATTACAATCTTGAGTTATTTTATTTGTCGGATTGTCCTATGCATGGGACTTCGGGTCAGTTTTTGTTAAAGTAAAATATTAATAGAATTTATCGATAATCAAAATTAGTACGGTGTTTAGATTTGTGTCTTCTGTTTGGCATAATTATATAAACCCTACTAAACCATACAATTAGTCTAACAACATAACATCACGCCTTTTATTCCCGAAGGGGTACGCAGAGGTGCACATTACGGCACTTAATGTCACTATACAATGTAACACCCACTTTTCACTATTCATGTTAAGAATCCCTTGTAATAGGGGGTGAGCCTATTGCCATATACCGGGCACGTTTCCAGACTTCGTGCTACTACTGAGATTTTTAAAAACCCAGTAATTCTTTGCCCGACTTTCTTTATAAACCATTCACCACTGCCTGTTACCCGATGAACAAAACGGACGTATGACAAGCTCTTTTTAAACAAGGAAACATAACTATATCGTATCCTTAATTAACAAAATAGAAATTGACATTATCGGCTTATCCACGTTAAATATAGAAAACCGATGGTGAGCAGTCGACGCTACGTATGGACACCCGAAACACCAGAGGAGTTAGAAGCGCATTGCCGGTTTGGTGTTTAAGGGGTTAGGGATTTGAGGATTGGGGAAGATTATATTACACAAAAATAAACTCAAACTCAAAAGCATTTATTTCAATTAAACAATAATTTTGGTACTTTTCTATACATATAATAAAATCGTAGGAAAGTGAAAACTGACACATCGAATATTTTTTTAAAAGAATGCTTTGAGCGTGATCTTCAGTCGATACCAAAACCAAAAATATAGTTCATAGAATTTTTGTCTGTTTGTCTGTAGGTATGTCCGGGATGAACATAAAAAGTGCTGCATGGATTTACTTGAAATTTTGCATGAATATTACTAACAGGTCGGGTCAACATATGTATAGTATAGGCTACTTATAATCATACTATCAACTACGGGAGAGGAGCTGTTAATCACTATTCCACGTGGACGAAGTCGCGAGCTCAGCTAGTATACTGTGAAATAAATAATAGTCTACCAGTCTGTCCATCAGTGAAGCTAGCTGCTCATTCCAAAATGTAGATTCGAATAGAGAAGAACAACCGAGAATCTCCATTCGTTACTCTTTTTTTAAACTGTCAAACACCAAGCGGTCACCGGTGACCGCGACCTATAGTTCTTTAATTGTGTCTATAAAACCGGTACTCGACGAGTTAATAATAAATTCTTCTCCTCCACAGGTACATTGCACCGTTCCTTCTAGCAACAACGACTGTAGCGAACACACTAATCGTCGTGGTATTATCGAGACGACACATGAGAACTCCAACGAATGTAGTACTAATGGCTATGGCTCTCTGCGATATGTTCACCATGCTGTTCCCAGCACCATGGCTCTTCTATATGTACACTTTTGGAAACCATTATAAGCCCCTGAGTCCGGTGAGAGCGTGTCAAGCATGGAATTATATGAACGAGGTGAGTTTTTTGTTTGTTTACTAAATTGTGACGTCACTATTTATGTATTATGGTCATTGCACACCTAACAATCATGCTTACAACCATTTTTTATTGTTTCCAAAGCTAAAACCGCCGTGCCGGGCCCTTGCTTTAGGCGAGCCGGAGCCGTGCTTATTAGGTGTACGATGACCTGTAGGTACTCATTCTTATTATAAACATTGAAGATAATTGTATCTTCGTCTTCGTCTTTTGAAAGTCGTGTCGTCTCTTGTATTTCTCTCTATGTTGTCTGTATGTATATATGTAACTCGTCGTTTGAAAGTATATTTTTAAGTTTTTTTATGGGATAAGCCCGTAAATGATCTGATGGATCACTTAGTAGTAGGCAATCGGCACTGCCCCTGGACACCCAAACTACTAGAGGTGTTATAAGTGGTTTTCCGGCCTTTTGAGGATTATGAATTTATGGATTTTTGGGGATTCGGCGATTCAGGAGATTGGGGAAAGGAGGTTTTATGTTTTCATGTAGTTCTTTGCTCTTCATTATCAACACCAGCTCATTCTTAACCACTGCTGGATATAGGCCTTTTCAAATGGCACTACTTTTAAACTAACAGATTGGGAATCATCGGTAGTTCAGCTGAACTACTAATTAGTTCAGTTAAATTACAATTACAGTCAACGCTGAGTCTGTTTGCTTGTTTATTTGTTTGTTGGTTTTAACGCGCTAATCTCCGGAACTACTAATCCGATTTGAATAATTATTTTTGTGTTAGATAGTGCAGTTATCGAGGAATGTTCTTTTATAAACAACACGCTACAATAGGAACTGAGCAGCGAGTAAAAGCGCGTGGGAATAACCTGTAGTGTGTGTGACACCTCTACTGACGGCCCCATTCATATGAAAGATTAAAATTGTAAAAAACCATTTCTTTTTGTTAGCGTTTTCGGAGCGTTCCGTTTACGGGGGAGGTGTAGTGTGTGACACCTCACCCTTTAATTAAGCGTCTTAAATTCTTAACTCGTTGAGTACCGTCATTATAAACACAATTAAAGAACAATAGGTCGCGGTCACCGGTGACCGCTTGGTGTTTGACAGTTTAATATCTATCTACTTACTTATAGGGCGAGGTGTCACACACACTACAAACCAATATTTTATAATGCTTATTATCGAAATCTTAAAGAACAAGATACTCAAACTAAATCCGTTTTATGCAAAATATATCATAAACCCGGATATATTTACATTGAAGTACCTAACTTTATCGTAATGGAAAATTTTAAGCTTCATTGAAGAGCCTATAAAATATTTTATGTACAACAGTATTGTGTTTTGACGTCGTTACCGTCTGCAAATATCAACGTTTTCATTTCTAGTATACTGGCTTTAAAGATATATTAAGCGGTTGTTTCCCCACCTTTACATAAGTACCTGCCTCGTTGGCTAAGTGGTCGCTAGTGTGACAACTGGGCAACCGACCGATTCAAAGGTGCACATTACGGCAGTTAGTGCCACTGTATAATGTAACACCCACTTTTCACTATTTATGTTATGAGTCTCATATAATAGGAGTGAGCCTATTGCCATATACCGAGCACAATTCAAGACTCCGTGCTACTACTGAGAAATAAAAAAAATAACCAGTAATACTTTGCCGTACCCGGGAATCGAACCCGAGACCCCTTGCCTGGCACTTGCGACCACTCGGACAATGAGGCAGTTATATTATTAGTTTGATTAATATGGGGATTAATATTAACCCACCCTATATAAGCTGTTCACTATACAGGATGGTAATAAATCAGTGTACCTAACTATTTAAAGCTTAATTAAAGTTCTTTACTACTGTAAGACCTTTATTAGCTCTAAATCGCGTGCAACATGAATTTGCAAAACCTAATCAGGTTCTTATAAATAGACTTTGTATAATATCTAGTTTTTGAAAAACTATTACAAACATTAAACTTTGCCATTGGTTTTTCATAACATAACATTACGTCTTTTATCCTCGAAGGGGTTGGCAAAAGGTGCACATTACGGCACTTAATATACGTACTGTCGGGAATCGAATCAAACTGAATGAATTTGAAGGCCTACTGGTTCAAATTGAATGAATTTGAAGGCCTTTTGTGTAGGGTAGTCCATTTACCGAAGAAAGCTATAGAACATCACGTTACTATCAATTGAAGCCAAGCAACGGGTGAAACAACATGAGAATAGCTACTTTAAAACTCAAAACATAATTTTTATTTATGGGATAAGCCGTAACGGAGCAGACGGATTACCTGATGGTAAGCAATCGGAACCGCCCTTTACGCCTAAACACCAGATGCGTTACAAGTGTGTTCCCGGCCTTTTTACGTCATGTGGGTTTTCTATGAGTCCGTGGTATCTCTCCCATTCATGCCGAAGCACCACCTATGCCACGAAGCACCACTTCTCCCATGAAGCACAACTTCTCCCACGAAGCACCACTTCTCCCACGAAGCACCTCTTCTCCCACACTTATGTCATAATACTCAAACGCCACTTAATTTTAAGTCGCGCTTAATTATAGTTCTGCCTCTGTCACTTCAAATTCTTTGTATAGAGATGGCACGATATTTATGTACTACTTAAAATTGGGTAACCTTTCAGTATTTGGGTGTTAAACTGTCAAATAGTTGTTGCATTATAATTTCTGCTTATCCTCAGTAAGAACAATATGCGTTAACATACTAATGTAACTAGTTTCAAACAATGTAACGACATAGATACCTAATATCAAACATCAGCTAATCAACTGTGATGCGATCATATTAGGCGTTGCCTATTCACGGCAGTACGCTCCAATATCGGTGACCGGATTATACCACGATTTCAACTGAACCGTGATATTTGCGAATAATGATAAATTTGTAGAAAAGCAGATTTCATGGTTTACTGACTTGTTTCCAATTGAATAATTAGATTTATTAGACTTGATTTTTTTATGGCATAAGCCGGTAAACGAGCATACGGATCACCTGATGTTAAGCAATCGGCGTCGCCCATGGACACCTGGAACACCAGTGTTACAAGTGCGTTACCGGCCTTTTGGGGATTAGGAGGTTGAGGATTTTTGGGGATTCAGGGATTGGGAAGATTGGAGAAGGGGGGAAGGTAAATGGGCCTCCGGTAACCTCACATGCAAGCGTTGCTTCACGTCAGTTTTCAATAAGGCCGTGGTATCACTCCGGTCGAGCCGGCCCATTCGTGTCGAACGAAAGCATGGCTCACACACTTATATCTATTTTCTCTATCACTATCACACCTATATTCATCAATCTATTTATTTAAAAAGCGCATCAAAATACGTTGCTTAGTTTTAAAGATCTAATCAAACATAACAAGAGACAGACGAAAGTGACTATATTTTATAGTCATCATCATAACGCCTTTTATCCCCGAAGGGGTCGGCAGAGGTGCACATTACGGCACTTAATGCCACTGTACAATGTAACACCCACTTTTCACTATTTATGTAATGAGTCCCATGTAATAGGGGGTGAGCCTAATGCCATATACCGGGCACAATTCCAGACTCCGTGCTACCACTGTGAATTTTTAAAAACCCAGTAATACTTTGCCCGACCCGGGAATCGAACCCGAGACCCCTTGCTCAGCAGTCGCACTTGCGACCACTCAGCCAACGAGGCAGTGTTTTATAGTATGTAGTTGATTATACACCTCTGCTAACTTCCTTACGGTTTCGCTGTCGATTACCTAGTAAGATGACTACAAAGCTACAATATAATACCTACCTAGACCGGATAACGTTTACCAAAGAGTATAATTGTCTTGTTACTGAGAATTCGAACCTGCACAAAGGCGACCTCAAGCCGTCAGATTAATCGTAACCAACGGACTGGCTTAGTCAGCTTCTGTTAGCAAGGATCTTACTTGTAGAATGTAAAGATACTAGCATACATGAAGCTCTTTGTAAACTACGGTGGAAATTCCTCATTAATCCCCTTCTGAAGAGGACATGACATAGGGGATTTTTAGGATTATATTGCACTGGGACACCATTTTTTAAGGCGGAAATATCATCGAATGACTTTTCCCTCCCGCCTCACCCCGCCTGGGAGTGTCAGACTCTTACTGACTAAAAACCACCCCGTTCCTACTCCTGCACTTCGAACTGGAGCCCCGATAACCCACTAGGCCGTCTGCTTAGGTGATTCCTGTAGCTACTAAGCAATAATGGGGTTTTATCTTATCTTATACTATTAGTTGAAAAGTTAATTAGTTTGTTTGTTTTAACGCACTAATCTCGGGAACTACTATATATATATAGCCTACTATATAGTCCATTTCTCGAAGAAGGCTACTAGCTGTGAAGCATCACGCTACAATCAATAGGCGCCGAGCAGAGCGGGTGAAGCCGCGCAGAAATATCTAGTACATAATATGGGGACAAATATGGGGGATGTTCTATCTTTAGCATCAATTATATTTATGTGGAGAGTGTGCGGGGGAATAGCACAACTTGATTCCCCCTAGTCCTTCCCATCATCGTACGACAAAACAATCGGCAAAGCGTCACCGATTCATGGTAGATGTTCCGCCCACACGCACGAAGCGCTTCGCATCAAGCTTCCTTGCGCGTACTGCTAAGGAGTGGAATTCTTTGCCATAGTCTGTATTTCCTGAAGGATATAACCTGGGTGTCTTCAAGGCCCGAGTGAATAGGTTACTTATGGGTTGACGTGCTCCATTGTAGGCCCCATCATCACTTACCACCAGGCGAGATAGTGGTCAAACGTCAGTCCCATCTAATATAAACAAAAAAAATGTTCAATCGCCACATTGACAATGTATCCCGTTCGGACGTCTTTCTACGTTCGATCGCTGTGACAAAATGGAGCCGTTTTAATGACTACATCAATCAGAACTGCTGCAGCATCGAATTTCACGAAAGCAAGTAAATCACTTGTCAGTGATAAAACGAACTTCTCTTTAGTCTAGTTGTGGCAAGTGCTACTTCGAGTTA